CTCTCTCTCTCTCTCTCTCTGTGTGTGTGTGTGTGTGTGTGTGTGTGTGTGTTTTGTTTTGTTTTTCAAGACAGGGTTTCTCTGTATAGCCCTGGCTGTCCTGGAACTCACTCTGGAGAACAGACTGGCCTCAAACTCACAGACTCTCTGCCTCATGAGTGCTGGGGTTAAAGGCGTGCATCACCACCGCCTGGCTCCACAAAGTTCTCTTAACACCAACAAATACTTCCTCTTGAACATTTTCTTTATATCTCTATTGTTCCTAAGCATTTATGTGTGTGCACATGTGTATATGCATGAGAGAGAGACAGAGACAGAGAGACAGAAAGAGAGAGACAGAAAGAGAGAGACAGAAAGAGAGAGAGAGCGCCTTGTGTGCCCCAGGCCAGGCCAAACTGACTACGTAGCCAAGGCTGGTCTTGAACTCCTGATTATCTTGCCTCTATCTCCTAAGTGTTAGGATTACAGGTGCACATCCAGTGAGTACAGTAAATGTGTGCAGTGTTATGTTTGCATGTACACATGCAGAGGCCAAAGGTCAATGCTGGGTGTCCCGCTCTATCACCTCCTGCCTTAATCCCTTAAGAATGGTTCTCTCAAACAGGACCCTAAAAAAGACACAGGTATTGCCCAATGACAGAGATATGGATGAGATCTACATGAACAACCTGGACGTGAAGGGGGGGGAGGGTAATGAAGGGCAAGGTTCGAGGGAAAGAGAGCTTAGGGGAGCGGGAGATCCCAGCTGGATCAAGAACACAGAGGGAGAACAAGGAATAAAAGACCATGATAAATGAAGACCCCATGGGATAGGAAGAAGCAAAGTGCTAGAGAGGTCCCCAGAAATCCACAAAGATATGTCTACAATAGACTACTGGCAATGGTCGAGAGAAAGCCCGAACTGACCTACTCTGGTGATAGGATGGCCAAACACCCTAATTGTCATGCTAGAAATCTCATCCAATGACTGAGGGAAGCAGATGCAAAGATCCATGGCCAGGCCCCAGGTGGAGCTCCAGAAGTCCAATTGGTGAGAAAGAGGAGGGTTTGTATGAGTGAGAATTGTTGAGACCAAGATTGGAAAAAGCACAGGGACAAATAGCCAAACTAATGGAAACACATGAACTATGAACCAATGGCTGAGGAGCCCCCAACTGGATCAGGCCCTCTGGATAAGTGAGACAGTTGATTAGGCTTGAACTGTTTGGGAGGCCCCCAGGCAGTGGGACCAGGACCTGTCCTTAATGCATGAGCTGGCTGTTTGGAACCTGGGGCTTATGCAGGGACAATTTGCACAGCCTGGGAGGAGGGGACTGGACCTGCCTGGACTGAATCTACCAGGTTGAACTGAATCCCCAGGGGAGTCTTTGCCCTGGAGAAGATGGGAATGGGGGGTGTTCTGGGGGAAGGGCGGGAGGGGAGACGGGAGGGGGGAGGACAGGGGAATCCGTGGCTGATATGTAAAATTAAATTATAAGATAAAAACTTAAAATTAAAAAAAAAATAAAAAGAATGGTGCTCTCACTGAACCTGAAGCTAAGGAAACCCTGTTGATCCTCCTGTCTCCATGTCCCTATAGCACTGGGATTACAGACACATGAACCACACTTGGCTTCTTACATGAGTTCTGGAAATTTAAACCCAGGTCCTCATGCTTACTCAGTAAGTGTTCTGATTCACTGAGCCTTCTTAGCCAACGCTGTTCCTAAGAATTTTATTTGTTTTTATTTTTTTCAAGACAAGATTTCTCTGTGTAGCCCTGGTTGTCTAGAACTCACTATGTAGACCAGGCTGGCCTCAAACGCAGAGCTCCATCTGCTTCTGTCTCCCAAGTGCTGAGATTAAAGGTGTGACTACCACATCCAGCCATATTCTTTCCTATTTTGAACTCATTAAACTTTAAAAGAAAAAAGGACTTAAAAAGGAAGCTGTCTTATGACATTTTCTGATTTTATATTAGGTTTACCATCCAGGAAATAACTACAAGACAGATTAACTACTGAACAGAAATATAGTTAAGTCAGTAGTTTTTATGGCAGATGAAACAAAATTCCTTGAGTTTTAGAAAACTGAGTATCTCTAAAATATTTTACTACACTAATCTTAGGTAAAGGGAAAAGGTTTTTTAAACAATTTCACAAGAAGAAACAAAGTTTACCTTAAAATTAGAGTTCTAGTTTGGGAACATACCTCAATGGAAGAGTTCTTTCCTCACACATACCACCAAGACCCTACATTTGATTCCCCCACCCCTGCCCGGAAAACAACAACAATGGAAGGAAGGAGAGGGAGGGAGGGACAGAGGGAGAGAGAGGGAGAGAGAGGGGGAGAGGGGGGGGGGGAGAGAAGAGGAAAGGAAATGAAAGAAAAAAAGAAAGGAAGGAAAGAAGAACCAATTAGTAGACTTCTAAGAATCACTAAAATCATTTCTCTTTCAATAAGACAAGCATTTTTCTATACACATGAAAACTATTTCCTGATATGCAAATACATAAGGATACTAGTTCTATCCCTTTACCAACAATAATACATATTGGTATTATTCCATCTGTAATATACAGATTGGGCTACAAATATATTTATTCTATAAATAAATGTCCAGAATATTCAAAGTATTACTACTTTCTCAGGAAGAAAATGATGCTTTAAAGGTATCCAAATTTCTGGATACTTCTAAACATGGATCAAAAATAAAGAGAAGCCAGGCATGGAGGAACACACCCAAATGTCCCAATGCTAAGGAGCCTGAAGCAGAATCACAAGTTTGATGACTATCCTACATAAAAAGGTCCTTGCTCAAAATTCCAAAATACACACATGCATGGAGAGAGACATCAGTTCTGCACAGGACTACTGTTTCCTTACCGTGTGCATTATTAAATGAGCTTTACATGCTGCTATACAGACCCTTAAGACTGAGAAAGAAAACATTTTAATGTAAAGAAAAATTTGGAAGAATGAATCATCCTTCTAGAATACCCAGGAGAGAGGACTAGGTGAGGAGCACATGGAAGCAGTTAGTTGCTGAAGAGATCAGTAATGTTATTCTCTACATCTTGGTTTCCTAACTGGCAATGGAAAAATTATACCAAAGCCTCATACTGTTTAGGAATTCAATAAAATAATGTAAGAGATGTACTTGGCCTGCTGTCTGATATGCATAAGTGAATAAAAGTAGATAAGAAAAAAATGAAGTTATATACCAATTTCTCCTCCAGATAACTTATAGTTAATGCCATAATGCAAATTTAGATCTCTTCCAAACATAGTATTTTACTTTTTAACTTACAATGCAAACTAGCCATTAATAGAAAGCACATCAAATTATCAAAATTGATTTTTTAAAGATTTATTTATTATGTATACAGCGTTCTATCTGCAAGTATGCCTGCAAGCCAGAAGAGGGCGCCAGATGTCATTACAGATAGTTGTGAGCCACCATGGAGTTGCCGGTAACTGAACCCACAACCTTTGGAATAAGCAGCCAGTGCTTTTAGGCGCTGAGCCATTTCTCCAGACCCAAAATTTATTTTTAATACTGCATTCCAGTCTTAGTCCACAATTTTTCCCAAGGGTAGTTTTTCCATTCAGCTCTGACACTTTGAGGAAGATGTGCATGTACAATACAGACCAAATAGTGAAGAAGTCACAAATAAACTTTAAAACAGGATTGCTGGTGCCAATCAAGACCTGCCTTTACGAGCTGTGGTTTCTCGGGCATCATCTGTTACCTGAGTTTTCTCATCTGTAAATTAGTGTTGCTCACCCCAGATGCTTCTAGTAAGTATACAAAAGGTGGTTATTTTATTATTATTAGAATGGTTTGAAATGCAGTTTTAGTCATTTAAAATAAGTATCACACTAATTCTAAATTCCCAGGTAACTGTAACTAGGCTATCACTCTCTATACATCTGTCCTAAAGAAAATAACATTTGTTGCAAAAATCTCCTAATGGGAACTTAAAGATAATGTCTCCATGTAGTTAAAGTACTTGTCTCAAGAATTTCAAATGCAGGTAAGGTGTAGGTGATAGGCCTAGTGAAATCTGTATATTCCTGTGCCTAAAAAAGAATGGAAGGAAAGACTATTTGTATAAATCAACATACATCTACTCAACAAGGGGATGAGGAATAGGAGTTTTGAGATACCATCCACAGAGCAGCAAATACAATAAAGAACCAGGTGTAGGGCTTCTAGAACCCTCGTGAACTCAGTGCACACAAGTGACATCATGGTCAAACTGTGAACAAAGGTCAGTGAAAAGAGCAGAGCAGGCTGGTTAGTGCTAAGAGTGGGCAGAGCTGCCATCCAGCTAGAGAATGAAAGTGTGAGCCACCCAGAAGCCAGAGCCAGCAGGGTCCCACTGTGGGATCACTGCACACGGAGAGGTAAATCTTACTGCAAAGACCTCAGACTGAAGACCAGCCGCTCTCTTTTTCAGCTCCTCCCCTTGAGCCTCTTTCGAACTTAGTTCCTCCTTCAGTTGCTCTACCTGTCACGACATTGTTATTGTTTTTCACTCATGTGTCAACTTAGGTCTTCCAGTTATCTGACTTTGAGCCACAGTGACCTCTGAAATAACAATAACTTACATAAAATAATTGAATCTGTTTCCCTTATTCAATTTTCAAAGGCATAGACTGTATTTCAAACTTTTTCAAGTGAACTAGAGTGTGCTGACCAACAAAAAGGAAATATAATATAGATTATAATACAGTAAATTTTGTCCTAAAATCATGGAGAAAATCCAAGCTAACAAAAAGTTGAGCACATCAATTTTTTTAGCTTTAAAATTAACATGTAACTACCATGAATAATCAATAACAGACTCTTTAGTAATAGAGGGAAACTCTAGCTATATGCCAGGTACAGACACGACAAAAAGACTGCACGGACTAGAAAGTCACACCTGTGCCACTCCTTGACAGTCAAATTTGGGGAATGCTTCAGTTTTCAGTTGCAAGAAACTGAAGAATATAGCTGCTATATACACTGGGAAATGCAGTTAGTAATACTTTTCTAGCTAAAATTTCATTGTTAAAATTATTTATTTGTGTATTTGTTTGTTTTGAAACAGGGCCTCACTATGTAGCCCTGGATAACCTGGAACTCACTATGTAGACCAGGCTGGCCTCCAAGTTGCAGCAGTCTGAATGCCTCTGTCTACCAAGTGCTAGGACTGCAGGCATGTGCCACCATGTCCAGTTTTTTACAATTATGGTTTTTAATTAAACCACAATAAAACTGATAACCACAATAAACTAAATTCTTCAATTTTATTGAAGTAGTTTATAGACTCAAACTAAATGACTTTGGATCTGAAGAAAGCATCCTGTGACTGATTTTAAACGCACACTGACAGGCCTCAGTACTGACCACCCCACTGAACATACACCTGAGAGCACACAGGCAAGAACAAACCTGGTGGCCAATGAACTCCCCGAATGGAGAGAGCAGAAGCCTTTCCTTCTTGGAGCCTGTTTAAAGGGGAAACATTGAACTTGTTTTGGAAAAAGCACTTCTCAGGGATTTGACTTACAATACTTCCCAAGAAGAGGTGGAGAATGGGCTGTCTCATACAGTAAGAGAAACGCAACTGGACCAAGTCCCATCAAATCATTCCAACATATTTACAGAAATAAAAAGTTAAACTATAACATGATCTTAGTCACATCAATCAATTCTTATTTAAATAAAAGCCTGCAGTAACTAAATGATACCAGTAATTCTGGAAAGTTTCTATGTGGGAGTGGGAAGACCACTCCTCTAAAGTCTAACAAAACATAAAGTAGATCTTCACCATCACTAACACGGAAAAGTACACATAAACTTTTCAAGCTTCTAGGAACTGAAGCATCTGCTCCATACCTTATTTTTCATGAACTTAGAGTGGCTCCTGTACACCTCCATCTGTTTCATCTCCTCCTCCCGCTCTTCAGTACTCAGAGCCCCATTGGATTTCAGCATCTGAATTTCCTCTTCCAGGTCTCGGAGACCACGCTCCATGGAAGAAATTTTTGAATCCTAGGAACAATGGAAGAGTTAAAGTGTTAAAAAATTTACCAAGATTAAAAGTAGCTGAATAACTGGGTCTCTCAAAATACTGAATTTAGTAACAACAACTACACAGAAAAACCTGCTGTTACAGCATGTGGGACAAGGAAGACTTACATCCTCACAACATGATTACACCTTTCTTCCTCCAGTTACAGACCCTCTCAACTCAAGCAGACACAATTAACCAAAGAGTAGAAACAATAGAAAATGGTGAAAGATTCTTTGCACTTTATGACCAGCAAATGTCTAATGGGGGAAAAACTGTAATATTAACAGTAAAACCTTTCCTATTCTAATATTTCACTACTTTATTTAGTGACCTCTGGGGGGCATGTTTCTACCACTAAATAAGAGAAAAGAATACAAGTTTGTTTGAAAGTACTATACAATAAAATTCATAATTATATATAATAATTATCTAGCATTCCAATTGAAGAAGAATTTCAGAGTGAATAGTTATATATTAACAGTTACCTTTTATACGTTAGAAGTCTTATTCTCTGAACTTCTGGCATACATCTGAAGTAGCTACAAATGTTTTAAAAATCACTAATTCCATAGCACATGTCTAAAGTCCTCAGTATTTAGAACAAGGCAAGAGGATTACTTGAGACCAGGAGTTCAGGGATAGCTAGGCAACGTGGTAAGACAACCCCCATCTCAAAAATGTTAAATAATAAATCACTGTTCTTGTAAACCATTATCATAAATATCACCTTCTAGTTCTACAGGTTTCTATATGCAATTTTTTGATTTGTTTGTGGCAACATATAACTTATCTCCTCAACATATGCTATATGTCATCAATTATAGCAAAATGGCTACATGAAAATAATTTTATATCTGTAATTGAACATGCTTATTTGCCTAAGAAATAGAAGCTTTAAAAAATTTAAGTGTAACTTAACATTTGACTTGGAGCTTTAGAGAGAACATTTTGAGATGGAATTCTGAAACTGACTTCCTTTTTACTTTACATCAAAGATGTCTGGATTGGCTGTTTTGGCTATCATAATTCCTAGAGCAGAAAGGCAGAACTTAAAGATCTGTCATGAGACAACTTCAACCAGCAATTTTCAGGTTTAGGGAGCTACAGAGGAAGAAGTCCTCTTGCCTTGCTCATATCCTACACTTTAATTGTACTATCAGAAATTCACTTTTAAGACTAACATAAAATTTTCTGCAAGTATCAGGACATGGTCTCTTTAAAATGACTAAAACACCAGACATGTATAAATAGCTAAGAGTCAAATGTAAGTTCTGCCACACCCACATCTAGGAGCAACAAGAGGAATGAACAGATAGGAAAAGGGAGTGTATCTTTAGCACAGCTTTGATCTGAAAAAGACAACAGTGTCCCAGAGTAACAGCACTAGCTCTGTATATCCACAGCAGACCACCTGTACAGCTTTTACACAGTCCTCACCCAAAGCCTTACTTCTCCATTCATGACAATAACATAGGACAAAATCAACTCACTACCAAACATACAGCACAAAAACTTCTTTCTAGAGAAAACCATTACTGTAGCTGTGAAAGCCTCAAGGCAAATATGGACTGCCCAGGAAAAGATCTACCCATTTATTCTTTGGAATCAGGTTAAACAACTAGTCCTTGTTACTATAACTAGTTCTAGCATAAACTTCAGTGGTACCAAGCCTGGGATTATGTGAGGATAGCTCTCCCAATCACGTTTTGCACTTCTCTGTGAAATGAGCAGATAATTAAGTTCCCTTTCACTTTCCCACTATTTCCCAAACCTTGACCCCTATTGTTGTCAGCAAACTCCTAATGGGCATTCTGAGATTTACTCCTTGAGAAATTCCCCACATCTCCAATCCCAAAGGTTGTCTCATTTCCCCAACCAAAGTAGGCTTTCCTGAAGGCTCTAATTACCCTGAACTATCTCATTTTGCAACACCAAAGACCAGCTTCCAATCACTTGGATGATAAATTTCTGGGTGTCTTAGGGTATGTATATCCAGGTAAGTGTTTAAGTTGGGAGGCCAACCTTGAACATGAGTGGAACCATCCCATGAGCAAGAGTCCAGACAAAAGAAAAAAAGAAGAAAGCCAGTGAAGCAGCAACACTCACACCTCTCTGCTTCCTGTGAACGCAAAGTGATCAGATGCCTCTCACACTCCTATTGCCTCATCTCTGCCCTCAAGCCATGGACTCTGCCCTCAAGCCATGAACTCTACCTTCAAGACATGGACTCTGCCCTCAAGCCATGAACTCTACCTTCAAGACATGGACTCTGCCCTCAAGCCATGGACTCTACCTTCAAGCCATGAACTCTACCTTCAAGACATGGACTCTGCCCTCAAGCCATGGACTCTGCCCTCAAGCCATAGACTTTGCCCTCAAGCCATGGACTCTGCCCCATGGACTCTGCCCTCAAGCCATGGACTCTGCCCTCAAGTCATGGACTCTGCCCTCAAGCCATGAACTCTACCTTCAAGACATGAACTCTGCCCTCAAGCCATGGACTCTGCCCTCAAGCCATGGACTCTACCCTCAAGACATGATCCAAAAATAAACCATCCTTTCTGAAGTCTCTTTGGCCAGGTGTGTTGTTTTAGCAATGAGAAAAATAACCAACACAGCATCCACCTGACCCTTCTTGTTGATAGACTCTCATTTCACAATACAAGCTTGGCAAAACTTAAAATATATCCACTGCCAATTAACAAAATTACACATCCCTGATCTGCGAGGAGAGTTTAAAACAAACAACACCAAACCATATGTGAACATGTGTTTTATCCTTAGGCATCAACAGGGATCAGGAAATAACATGCACAAATAAACCTATGTCGTATTACTGAGGGAAGGCCATAAAATTAAACCATTTGAAAGGCCCCTTATAAGATTATATTCAAGCTTGTTATTATATAACTACAAAGAGCCCCAAAACTAGTCATTTAAATTTTGTTTGATAAATCCCTCCCCCACTGAAAAAGAAAATAAATACAACATAAGCAAAGTTTTATCATTGCCAGTCAAATCATATTTTTGCCAGCCAAGGCTAGAGTGAGACCTTATCTCAAAAACACATGAACATGAACACACACACACACACACACACACACACACACACACACACACACACACACACCTCTCTCAAATGTGGAGGGATAATACAAACCAAGGCTCCGGTGGGGTATGAAGAAGTTAAAGAACTAAATAGGCTTTTGTAAGGAAGAACGTAAAGCAGAGGTATGATAGCACATGCCTATAATCCTCAACTCAGGATTATGTTAAATCAGGAAGATGGCAAGTTCAAAACCAGTCTGGGACACAAGGAGAGGAAAGGAGGACCATGTGTGATGATTAATTTTAAGTATCAACTGGTTACAACCAAGAATCACCTGGAGAGAAACTTAATGAGGAATTATCTAGATCAGATTGTCTACAGAGGGACTGCTTTGATTGCATTAATTGAGGTGGGATGGGAGACGCACCCTGAATGTGGATGGCACCAATTCATGGACTGACCATGAACTGTACAAGATAGAAGAAAGCTAGATAAGAGCAAGCCAGCAGACAGCAATAGGGCGTTTGTTTCTCTCTGCTCTTGGCTAGAGATTCAATGTGACCAGCTATCTCAAGTTCCTGCCTCTGACTCCCCAGCAGTGGTGAGCTATAACATGGAACTGTAAGATAAATTGTCACAACAACAAAGGAAACCAGACCATGTGTCTAATAAAAATATTAGCAACACCACCTAACATCACCTTTTAGCTATGTCCAAAGCACTTACAGGTTTTAACTACTGAACCTCAAATTAACCACTGAATGAGATTCTTATTACCACTAACAGATTTTTTTTTTTTTAATCTGAGAGAGCCATAGAGAGGTTAGGAACTTGCGTCTTGTCACATATCTGATAAAATGTAGCTAGATTTTTAAATCAAAAGGGTTTATCTCAGAAAGCAAACTCTTGTGACTCCTGGAGATTCCTAACTAATGACTAGTTTAAAGCAGTTTTTCAAAATACTATCTTTCAAATTCCGGGGTCCTCTAGACAGAGAGTCTTCAGGGATAAAGCTATTTTCGAAGTAATCTTACAGTTATCACTGGATCTTTCCGATGTGTTGACAGTTGCACTGATAAAGGAAACAATGGACAAAGGTACACAAGTCCAGGACAATGACACTAAATAACAGTAGTAGTCATGACATTCTGTAGGGAGATAAACTGGCAATGAAGAAAAGGATAAATAACTAAAATTTTAAAAGAATGCCCTTGATTAAGCAGTTAAAATGCACTACTTTTAATATACCTCAACCATCAAATATATGAGAAAGTCAGAATTAAGCATGGAGCACTTACGCAGCATGCGGAAGAACAATGGTTGTCCCTAGCAACAGCACTTGCAGGGTGCTTTAAGGTGCAAGCTGAGCTGGGTACTTCCTTCCTACAGCACAACTCTTACTGAAAACATGACAGGCAAACTGATTACTAAGGCTTAGGTTTTGGTAAATTTTGTTCTTAAAAATGAAGGAAGTACACCAGGCAGTGGTGGAGCACACCTTAATCCCAGCACTTGGAGGCAGAGGCAGGAGGATCTCTCTGAGTTCAAGGCCAGCCTGGTCTACAAAGTAAGTTCCAGGACAGCCAGGTCTACACAAAGAAACACTGTCTCAAAAAAACAAAGCAAAACAAAACAAAAACAAAAGTTGGCCTATCAACATTAAGAGAATTATGGAATCCTAACATTAGGAAGTTGTGTGTGTGTGTGTGTGTGTGTGTGTGTGTGTGTGCGCGCGCGAGGGGCAAGCATATTCATGTGGGTAACATACATGTGTATGCATGTATAGACCAAAAAGTAAACTCCACCCTGTTTTGTAGGACAAACAAAGAGTCTCACTGGCCTAGAGCTCACCAAGTAGGAGAGAGAGGCTAGCCAGCTGGCAAGCCTCAGGGAGCTCCCTGCTCCTAACTCCCCAGTGCTGAAGTTACCAGCAACAAGCTCAACTCTTCTACATAAGTTCTAGGGATCCAGCTCACGTACCCAGTAAACCTTTTACTGATAGCTATCTCTGGAGGCCAAGAAGTTTTATTTTCCATAATTCCTCTATTCATTGGCATATGTTAATTACATAAAATAACCAGTTTTATTGTGCCATTTTGTACAAGTATGAACATAATTTGATCATGTTTACCTCACTACTTCTCTTCTCACCCTCTCTCCTGACTAGTTTTCCTTCTTCTGTCTAATAATCCCCTCTCTGCCTTAAGAAGTTTGACATTTGATTTAAAAAAATACTAGACAACTCCTTTTGGTCTCGTTTTTTAATTATGTCCAACAACTGAAAGGGAACTGAAAATCCTGTAAAGGAGCTCCTGAAGTCTTACAAAGTACTATTGTTACCCTAACTCCACACATGCAGGAAGGGGTCTAACCATTTAAGAGGGAAAGGTGACTCAAGATTCTTCATGAGATTCTCACTTACCTTCATCTCAATGACGGTTTGCAAGGCTTTTGTTTTGGCAGAATCAGGGGCATTCTCAAATCTCCGATGCATCTCCTAAACAGAAGCAGAAGAGAGTCAGTGGCTGTCTTCCTATGCTCATGCATTGTTTGGTCTAACTTTGTGGCCCTGGCTGGCCTGAGGCTCACTGTGTATACCTAGCTGGCCTTGAACTCAGTGATCCACCAGATCCTCTGCCTTTGCCTCCGATTAAAGGCATGTGCCACCACACCTAGCTATTCTCATGCTTTTTGAAGTGGGAGATGTTAAAATAACTAGGCCAACCTTTGTGGTAAGTGGACCCTTTGTCACAGATTCTTACCTGTGGATCGGGGAACCCAGACTGCATTCTGACTAAATTCAACATACACCAGAGAGGACCCTTGGTTCTAAACAGCTAGTTATTTAGTCAGAGTAATACCAATTAAAGCAGTAGAAACTGCCACACATCACTAGATTGACATATCAATAAGACATGAAATCAAAACTGCAAATGATCTAAAACGGGGAACCAGAAAACACAACTCCCACCTTTTTTGTTTATTTGGTTTCTTGAGACAGGGTTTCTCTGTGTAGCTCTGGCTGTCCTGAACTCACTCTGTATCCCAGGCTGGCCTCAAACTCACAGAGATCTGCCTGCCTCTGCCTCCCAAGTGCTAGGATTAAAGGCATGCGCCACCACTGCCCGGCTGAAAAGATTCCTTTTTAAAAGGAAGAAACAAAGGCTATCACAACCAGCCTGCAATGCACAGAGTTACAAAGTTATCTCTGTTAGATGTAGCACCCACCTCCAGAGTACCAAGTGCCTAATGACCTATGATGAACACCTCCAGTGGGACTCCGGGGAGGAAGAAATAGTCCGTTGGATAAGTTTCCAAGGAGTTCAAAATCAGAAAATGTCTTAAGATGGCTTTCTTTTTTAATCCAAAGTTTAATGAGTCTAAGACAGGAAAGGAGGAGGTCAGCCATGGTGGCCCATGCCTTTGGTTCCAGTATTCTTTTTAAAAGAGACTAGATGCTATAAAAAGATTGAACTTTTAATGTATTTGAATTCTTAAGGATGTGGAATCTTTTAAGTTTAATGTTTTATATTGTGATATGTTTATTAATGTGTGATCCTGGGATGAACAAGAAATGAAAGGTTGTGACTTAACAGTAATATGCATGTTTGTATGTCAAGCTGAGAAGGGGTCAGTTATACTGGCTAATTTTATGTCTACTTGACATAAGCTAGGGTCAGTGGAAAGAAAAAAGCCTCAATTGAGAAAACAACTCCATTAAATGAGGCTGTAGGGAAGCCTGGAGGGCAGTGGTTCTCAACCTTCCTAATGCCATGACCCTTTAATACAGTCCCAAATATTGTGGTGACCCCCAGCCATAAAATCATTTTGTTGCTACTTCATAACTGTACTTTTGCTACCGTTTAAATATCTGGTATGCAGGATATCCGATACGTGACCCCTGTGAAAGGATTATAAACCTCCGAAAAGGGGTTGGGATCCACATGTTGAAAACCACTAATATAGGGCATTTTCTTAAGTAATAGATGGGGCCACCCTCAGCTCCTAGGCCTGGGCCTATTAGAAAGCAAGCTGAACAAGCCATGAAGGGAAACAGAGGCAGGCAGATCTCTATGAGTTTGACACCAGCCTAGTTTTAAATAAATAAATAAATAAATTGATAGATAGGAAGGAAGGATGTTAATAGACTTTGATACATGCTTTTTTTTTTTAAGCTGAGGATTGAACCCAGGGCCTTGCGCTTGCTAGGCAAGTGCTCTACCACTGAGCTAAATCCCCAACCCTGTTAATAGTCTTTGAGGATCACTTGGAAGATCACTTGGAAGTTACAGACAATTCTCTTGTCAGACCTGTGTCTATCTCTGAATTACTCCCTAATACTGAAACCTGGGACACCCCTAGCTAAGAGAACAGAGTGCAATACTCCATATGAACAATGGTTAAGAATATTGAAAATGACTATGATTTAGTATTTTGATTGTATCTTTCACCTGACTTACTCACTGTTGCCTGACCAAGAAACTCACTGCTTAACTTTTCTTAAAATGCTTACAGATCAAAAGCCCTTTCAAAATGTTTTTTCATACTACATTCAAATTTTTTAGAGCATTTCTGATTTCAGTTTTAGATTAGAAATGCTCAACTGCTGAAGTCTATGAAAATATTCTAAACTCCAAAAAAACCCACAACCTAAAAAAACTCTGGCTCAAAGCATTTAAGGGAAGGCAGATTCAATCTTTATTAATATACAATACTCTTTCTGCTATAATTCTTACTAATTGTAGCTTTAAGTATCCAAGGAGATAGTCACACTTACATAGGTAACAAACATTTCAAAAGTGTGGTGGTTTGAATGAAAATGGCCCCCAAGGCTCGTAGGGAGTGAGTGGCACTGTTAGGAGGTGTGGCCTTGTTGGAGGAAGAATGTCACTGGAGGGTGGGCTTTGAGGTTTCAGATGCTCCAGCCAGGCCCAGTGGTTTACTCTCTCTTCCTGCTACCTTCAGATTCAGATGCCAAACTCTCGGCTATCTTTCCAGCACCATGTCTGTCTGCACACCACCATGTTGACAGTGGACTGCACCTCTGAACTGTAAGCCAGGCCCAATTAAATATTTCTCTTTATAAGACTTACCATGGTCATGGTGTCTCTTCACAACAATAGAAACCATAACTAAGACCAAAAGCTATTTTCCTAAAACTAGGCTCCAACAGCCTAACCTGCACCACACATGTAGCCACTCATACCTTCTAGTCTCCCATAAGCCAAAGACAGGAAACCTACTTAGATGTACCTTCAAAATATTCCACAATCCAGCCAGAAAGAGGTGGCGCAGGCCTTTAGTCCCAGCACTCTGGAGGCAGAGGCCAGCGGGTCTCTACAGAGCTAGCTCCAGGACAGCCAGGACTGTACAGAGAAACCCTGTCTCGAAAAAACAAAAAGACATTCGAAAATCCAAACACTTTCCTGAATTTTAAATACTACCACCTAATATGAGCCATGCAAAAATCCACACCTTTCATTAACAACTTCCTACATTTTGCCTCCCTTACTCAACAAAGATCCTCTAAAAACCAAGTTGATCAGAGGGGCAATAGTGGCACAGGCCTTTAATCCCAGTACTCAGGCGGCAGATGCAGGCAGATCTCTGAGTTTCAGGCCAGCCAGCCTGGTCTACAGAGTGAGTTGCAGGATAGCAGAGCTACACAGAAAGACCCTGTCTCAAAAAATAAACAAACAAAAGCCAAGTTGAGCACTCAAAACCATGTTGTCTTAGTTAGTTTTCTATTGCTGTGAAAAGATATCATGACCATGGCAATTCTCATAAGGAACACATTTAATTGAGAGGGCTCCCTTACAGTTTCAGAGGTTCAGTTCATTATCATGGTGGGGGGCATGGAGGCATTCAGGCAGATGTAGCACTGAAGGAATAGCTGAGAGTCCTACATCTTGTAAGCAACAAGAAGTTGACTGACTCACTGGGCAGTATCCTGAGCACAGGAAACCTCAATACTCACCCCCACAGTGACATACTTCCTCTAACGAGGCCATGCCCATTCCAAAAAAGCCACATTTCCTAATAGCATCATGCCCTATGAGATTATGGGAGCCAATTACATTCAAACTACCACACCTGTCAAGGCTCCCCATATGACGTTTTCTTGAGAGACTATAAAGCCTCATGCCGTCACTATACTTCCGTCATACTGGACACCTAGTTGTTCCCCAAATATGCTGAGCTGTTGAACTCTCTCCCATCTCCCATGCCAGATGAACACTTTAGCTCCATCTGTTCATAGCTCAAATGTCTCTTAAATATTCTAGGTGTATTAGCTGTGATATCATTATGTTTAAACAAGAAAATGTCCAAGTGATTTACAGATACACACTAAAGACAATAGAGGTAAAATTATCATGCCAGGATATTGTTTTAAATTCTCCAGTGAAGAAAAGAATAAATAAATGCCTGTCTCCTGAAATAGGCTTATTTTCCTGCTTTGTGTGTCTAGTAATTGATTATGGGGTGAGCATAATGGGTACGTCATTATGGAGTATCCAAGTCTGGTGTCTTCCCTAATGAAACACTCTCTTGATTGTCATCACCTTTTTAAAAAATATTTAATTATTTTGTGCGTGTGTGTGCATTCCATCACACATATACAGAAATTACAAACAGAATGGAATTACTATTCTAGCCAATAAGCTAAGAAGTAGCTGAATTACACATGGAAGATTAAATCTATAATTAAAAATTTTAAAGTGTCTTGAAAAAACAAGAGTTGGAGATACAGCTCAGCTGGTAGAGTGCTTGACTAGTATGCACAAAGCCATGAATAGTCCTCAGGTGATGCTGGATTCCTAGAACTGCATAAAATAGAGGAGGTGGGAAGGCTAGAAGTTCAAGTCCCCCCCAGCATACGGGAGGCAGAGGCAAGTGGATCTCTGTGAGTTTGAGGCCAGCCTGGTCTACAGAGCGAGATCCAGGAAAGGCGAAAAGCTACACAGAGAAACCCTGTCTCGAAAAAAACAAACAAACAAACAAACAAAGTTTAAGTCCAGTCTCTAATATATAATGAAGTCAATACAAAATGGACTATAGAAAACCATCTCCAAAAAATTAATTAAAATTTTTTAAAAAAGGATGAATGAAACAAAGCTATGATATTTATTGGCATTAAAGATATTAATCTAAAATACATAAGTGTAATAATGTTATAATATTAGGAATAGAGATGTGGTAAAATTTAGTAAAAAGCAAATGAGAGATCATAAAAGCCCAGATCAGGATTGTTCTTAGAGGGAAAAGGGGCTCTGATGGTGATGCTACATGGGAGCTCTGGATAACTTTTAAAGTTCCTGTCTGTACCTGGGTGGTGGTAAGAAGGGAGTATACTTCATAATTCTTTAAGCTACAGAATTGTAGTAAGCTGTTGATACTATTATTTTGAGGTGCTAGGGTCAGCCTCAGGGACTTGTATATTACGGTAAGCAATGGCTCTTCCACAGCTACATCCCCAGCCCTGATTCACAGCACTTT